TATTCTTCCTAAAACTCTTGGAATATGTTAGATTGGAGAGCAATGTGAATATATTTCCTGTATATTTAGACAGGTATGTCTTCACCATGAAGCTTAACTCTGTAGTATAGGGATCAAGGCCAGACTGAGACCTGGGGTTAGGCTCATAATTGGGCAGTCTATAAAATAGAAAAGCATTATGTTAGACCTCACCTTCCTTTGGGAAGCAGGTTATTATTGACAGTTTAGTTTTATTTAAATATTCCTCTTAGTGTGGTAGAGAAGGTGTCTTATGTCACCTCACTCCAAATGACTTAAATATTTTTTCCAATTATATCAGTTAAGAACTAATTTGGCTGCAAGTAACAAAGCAACAACAAAGATTAGTTTTTAAAAACAAGTGTTTATTTTCTCACATTTTTGGAAGTACAGAGATAGGCAGCATTTCATTTCACATTATTTCTGAGACTTAAGGCTGATAACTGTGATTTTCTTGTTTTTTATCGCATAGTTGCAAGATGGCTGCAGATGCACCAGTCATTTTGTCCACATTTTAATAAAGGAGAAGGAGGAAGAGAAGGGAATAGCACCTATATCAAGAAAAATATGATTTTGCTGAAACCATGGAGAAGAATAGTTCTTATGTGACTTTGGCCAGAATTGTGTCCGATGTCCACATTGGCCTAAGGGAGTTGGGCAAACAAGCCTTGAGAATGATGGTGGGTCAGAGAGGAGTTCTGATTGATCTAGTTTTATTTATCTCTTTACATTCTAGTCATGTGTTAGTGCCCCTGAGATATTCCAACACCTGTTATAGCCTGATCCTAAATCTAGCTATGAGCATGCTAACAAATATAGCTATCACTTAACTCATGGGTTTACTATATGCAATGCATTTTAAGTATATTAACTCATTTAATCCTTATAATAACTCCATGAAGTATAGTATATGATTAATATATGTATATATATTAATTCTCACCTGAGGAATGAGGATATTTTTTCCATTGATTTTGAGAGAGAGTGAAAAGGAGGGGAGTGGGTGGAGAGAAAGAGAAGAGAGAGAAGAGAAAGAAGCATTGATGTGAAAGAGACACATCTATTGGTTGCATTCCACACACATACTGACAGGGAACAGGGATTGAAACTGCAACCCAGGTACATGCCCTTGACCAGGAATCAAACCAGCGACCCTCCAGTGTGAAGGCTGGCACTCTAACCACTGAGCAACGCCAGCAAGGGCTGATTAATATTTCTGTTAGATAGGACAAGGCTCTCAAGGTCTGAACAGTTCTAAATGTTATTACTAAATGCTATTCTTGCTAAACATTAAAATATAGCACAGTATTTTGTAGATGCAGATGGAAACAGGAAGCGCTTGACAGGAACTCAACCAAATAAGTGAGTCAACTGCAAAGAAGAAATCAATATGTAATTGACTAAATAGTGTATATAAGCAAAGGCTAAGCCTCCCTTTGGGGAGACAGCTTTGAATATGTCTCCTTGCTGTAAGTAAATAAAACTACCTTGCAACAACCACTTTGCATTCGTATTTTATCGATTAAGAAATGGAGGCACAGAGATTCAATAGCATGTTCTAGGTCATAGATCTTGGAAGTGGCAGAGCCTGTATTTAAACCTGGACTGGCTGGCTTCAGAGTTTTCCCTCTAAATCTCTATATTCCTTCTCTGGAATAAAAATATGTATAGCTATATGCAGATATACAAATATCTGAGGGGACTTACGAAATTAAGATTACTGTGGGGAAGACATTTGGACAACATGGAAAAGGCTTGAATTTAAATCCTGGCTCCTCTATCACTAGGGTCAACTAAAGGTCTTTGGCACCAATTCAATACCAATAGGAACCCCCAGTTTGGAGTGTGTTGAAGAAGGAAACTTTGTTCAGTGCAACAGCTCAATTGTTACAGAGTAGGGCTTTGAAAACAGCAAGGCTATGGGACAGCTCAATAGTGATACAGCAGGGCTGTGAAAACAGAGCTGCTGTTAGGAGGCCCTGGGGTGAGGCAGCCCTGGGCAAGGTGGCCCTGAGGTCAGGCCCCTCTCCTGCAAGACCCCTCTGCTCTGCCCTGCACTGAGTCTGATCTGCTCTTCTCTGGCCTGCTCTTCCCTGCACTGGTCTATCCTGCTGTGGTTCAGCAAGACATCTTTGGTGTTTTGTCTCCAGCCAAGACAATGAAGTCTGAAGTCTTTGGTAGAAAGGGAAAGTTCACTCTCAAGAGCCAGAGGGGAGCTGACTTATATAGACAGAAATCCCCACCCCTAGTCTCCAATTGGTGTGTCCTCATGTAAATGAGGACTCCAAATTCTTCTAGTTTGATTGGTCCAAAAAGCACTGACCTGATTGGTTATAAAGGAGCTGCTCTGATTGGTTGGTGAAAAATCTGATGGGGATATAGCTGCACAGCTCCGATTGGGTAGGGACAGACTCGGTCTAGGATTCCAGGAACTCCTTTATGAGGGCTGGCTCCAATGGCAGGAACACAGCGCAGGCAGACAGTTTAGTGCAGAGGCAGGTAGTTCAGTGCTGGCTTCTCCCTGAAGTGCAGCTTGAATGAGAGGCTCCTCTGTAGAAATGGCTGCTTTTTAAAAATGTGTGCTCAGTTAGCCACCTAGATCTCCAGTAATCATTAAAATAGAATACAATTTATTCCTTAAAAGATAATTGAGGAAAATACAATAATAAAATGTATTTTTAAATGCCACTTTGAAGTTATGGTAGTTAGCATGGAGTTAAAATCTAATCTTAAACCTAATGGTGTTTTTCCCAAAAATAGTTGCTCTGTAATACATTCGTATTCTGTTTTCATGTAATGTTTTCCTGGAATTGTTATGAAATTAAAAAAAAATACAAACAGCTGACAAAGCTTAGACTCTATTTATCCTAATATGGTGAGGTATGCAACGCCAAATTAAAGCTCATCGAAGTGTTGGATGAGCCTGAGGATCACAATTACTAGTATGTGATGCTTCAAAAATGGAAGGTCATGGTCTCTACTCCCTGCGACGAAGGAGGAAATATTTGTATCCTTAACTAAGAAAGTGAGAACTCTTCCAAATGTGCTTATCCAAAAAATGCTGTCTGTGTACTTTGCCAAAAAAGAATAGTTGATCATTGCAATTAAAGCATTCTTTAGGTGGATTGTCTCAGATGAAACCAGCGTGTTACTCAGATGCTCATGATCTATATTTCATGTCTGTTCCCCCAGCCGTCAGCAGTTTTGTGATAGTGTCTTCTGAGTATACCCTTTGCCTCCTCACCCCAGTAGGATCCCTCTACCTATGCAGGTGGTGATTTAGTTCTCCCTGAACTGCTCAGAGGTCTCTGTGCTGCAGGTTGATGTCCCACATCCCTAAGTTTCTTTTGTGTGTGTGTGTGTGTGTGTGTGTGTGTGTGTGTGTGTGTGTTTGTTTGTTTTTAAAAAATATATATATTTTATTGATTTTTTTACACAGAGGAAGGGAGAGGGATAGAGTTAGAAACATTGGTGAGAGAGAAACATCGATCAGCAGCCTCCTGCACACCCCCTAATGGGGATGTGCCCACAACCAAGGTACATGCCCTTGACCGGTATCGAACCTGGGACCTTTCAGTCCGCAGGCTGACACTCTATCCACTGAGCCAAACCGGTTAGGGCTGTTTTTTGTTTTTAATCCTCACCAGAGGATATTTTTCCATTGACTTTTCAGAGAGAGTGGAAGACAGAGAGAGACAGAGAAACATTGATGTAAGAGAGACACATCAATTGGTTGCCTTCTGCATGTGCCCCGACCAGGGCCGGAGATTGAGCCTGCAACCGAGGTATGTGCCCTTGACCTGAATCGAACCTGGGACCCTTCAGTCCACAGGCTGACACTCTATCCACTGAGCCAAACTGGCTAGGGCAAGGCTTTTCCATTAAATATTATATATTATTTCCTATCACTATCTCATTATCTCAAAAGGCAACATAAACAATTTTTTCAATTAAAAAATTCTGGTAAAGAACACATGAGATAAAATTTACCATCTTAATTATTTTAAGCTTGTATTAAGTACATTCACATTGTTGCACAACCATCTCCACCGTCCAACTCCAGAACTAGTTTCATCTTGAGAAAATAAAACTTGGTACTCATTAAGCAACTACCCATCCCCTCCTCCCCCAAGCCCCTGGGAACCACCATTCTACTTTCTGCCTCTATGAATTTGACTACGCTAGGAATCTCATCTAAGTGGAGTGTCTAGTATTGTCTTATTGTGCCTGGCTTATTTCACTTAGCATAAAGTCTTCAAGTTTCATTAATGTTGTAGCATGGAGCAGAATTTCTTGCCTTTTTAAAGCTGAATTGTTTGTATTAGATGCCATATTTTGTTTATCCATTCATTCAATGACAGTCATTTGGGTTGTTTATACCTTGTGACTTTTGCGAATAATGCTGCTACGATAATGGACGTACGAAAACTGTCTTTGAGACCCTGCTTTCAATTCTTTTGTCCTTTTACCCAGAAATAGAATTGCTGGATCATATAGTAATTCTATGTTCAAAATTTTTAGGAGCCTCCATATTGTTTTCGACAACAGCTATACCATTTTACATTCCTACCAACAATGCACAGGGGTTTCAGTTTCTCCACATTCTCATCAACATTGTTGTTTTTGTTTATTTTTTGTGACAACCCTAATAGGTGTGAGCAGTCAACCTTTTACCTCCTCTGTCATCATCTTAGATCCCTTACAGAGACAGACCATGTGTGTTTTGACTAATACAAATAACTTTCTACTTTCTGAGTGTGTGAAAATTTTCAAAGTGTTTTTATGGTAAGTCCTGATGGCCACAGAGTCATTATGAATTAGAAAAGGTTTTTTAAAAAGGCCACCACTGAGTGGAGATTTTCCCCTCAGACCCCTCTCTTCCACACTGGCTCCATTTCTTCACTGATTTTAAACCTGAATTGAATTTTGTGATTTATGACATAAAAGATACTGATTTTAATTCACAGATATTCTTTCCTCAGAAAATCCATTCCTCGCTGCCGAAGAATTAACAGGATGCTCTCCAATGAATCCCTACACTCTCTTGCGTTCAGCCGCACCAACTCACAAGCCTCCGTGGACAGCGCCTCCATGGACAGCGCCTCCATGGAGGATTTCTGGCGGGAAATAGAAAGTATTAAAGAGAACAGCATGGGAGGGCAGGAAGAGCCGGCGCCAGCTGAGGTCAAGCCTGTGGATGGTAAGTGTGAGATTCCTTTTCTTGTCTGCTGACTTACTTTCTTTGTATGCTCTCTTGTTCTGTCAGCAGGTAAAACTCATTTCATTAGTAATTTAACAAATGAATTTAGTAGAATTCAGCATATCAGCTACCCTGTTCCCACTGATTTATATCTACTGGACTGACTCAAAGTGGCTTCTTTTTTAAAATATATTTTTATTGATTTCAGAGAGGAAAGGAGAAGGAGAGAGATAGAAATATCAATGATGAGAGAGAATCATTGATCAGCTGCCTCCTGCACGCCCCACACTGGGGATTGTGCCTGCAACCCAGGCATGTGTCCTGACCAGGAATTGAACCGTGACCTCCTGGTTCATAGGTCGATGTTCAACTACTGAGCCACGCCAGCCAGGCAATTTTCTTTTTAATATGGTTCATCAACAAACTTACTGATGTGGTGGATTAGTACAGAATGCTACAACTTAGGTTCACCTTTGCATTTTCTGTTAAAGGACAGTTTATAAAGCAAATGAGCAATAAAAACAAGAAAGAAAATGAAGGTTTGCCTAGCTAAGAAATTGGAGCTGTGAAGCACATTGGAGACTTTGGCTCACATACCAGTGCTGCAATACTGTGAGCATGTCCAAGACTAGTAGGCTGATACTTGGACAGGCATTTACAAATCAGTCCAATCTGCTCTTTAGACAAACCTCATTCAGGAATGCCTGTTTAGCGTAGTTCCCCAAATTGTATGTGCAGGTGGATTTGCTGTTACAAGATATTGTTATTCTGAATCCTTTATTATTTCTGTACCTCTAATTTACAATAGCGATTGATTCTTATTATGACTAATTTTGCATTTTTTAATTGCCTTCTGAAAAATGGAAAGATTACCTAACGTTCAGAATAAGGAGAAAGTAAGAGAACAAATAACTGTTGACCCACATACACTGTTCAAGGTTTTTTACCATTTGTCATAATGGTAAAAAAATCCTCATAACCGAGTAAAAATTTTGTTATTATTACCTCTATTTTGCCAATAACACACTGAAGCGAAAAGATATCTTAAAACCTTCCAAATCCATGTATCTAGTAAATAGTAGCATTGGGACTTGAACCTGCGTTTGAGTGATTAAAAGCCCTTTTGGATGCTGTTTAAACCCCTATTTTTCAATTAGGGTTTTAGTTTAAATATTCATATTTTTTCCTCTTTTGAATTGATAGTCCAGATATAGCTTATATTTAACTGGCCAAGAAAAAAACCTTACTCAATCTGCCAATTAACCTTATTGTACTAGAAAATACTTTAAAATTTGACTTATTTAAAAAATACAATACAAACTTTTCATTCATTTTAATAGGCCTTTTCTATAATTTGGGGGGAAAGGACAGTCTTAATATATTGACTATTGATATTTCTTATTCACAGGAATGCACAGACCTACAGATACACACCTCATCCAATCAGACAGAGAATGTGCTAACCTCCTCTTGGTCATGTTATTTTTCAGAAGGAGAACTTGAAGCAGAGTGGTTGCAAGATGTGGGTTTATCAACCCTGATCTCAGGTGATGAAGAGGAGGATGGCAAAGCCTTGCTCTCCACATTGACTCGAACCCAAGCAGCTGCGGTGAAAAAGAGATATAATACTTACACTCAAACCATGAGAAAAAAGAACAAGCAGTCTGTCCGGGATGTCAGAGACATCTTTGGAGTCAGCGAATCTCCTGTAAGTAATGAACATGGCTCAAAAGGTTTGGTTTGGTTGGGGAAGAAGACGAAGGAGGGAAACGGAAAACATGTCATCATCTAGTTTTTAAAGAAAACGAAAGCAGACAGCACAGTCCAAAATTTTACAAATTTGAAATGTAAGCTATCCCATTCCTTATACCATTCATCAATCTCCCTCAACATTAAATGTATTCCCTTCTTCACTGAAGTTACAGAATAACTTTTTGGCAACAGAGCAAGTCTTTATGGATGGGCTACACAGAGCCTTTACTTAAATCTAAGTCCTGAATGGAAACAGGTAAAAGAGCCATGGGAAAGTGGCCCCAGTATTATAAGCAAGTCTGGGTGGTTTGTTTTAAATGGAGGTGGAGGTGGAAGAGTAAGTAGGATAGCCTTTATGGTCAAATAAGTTAAAAAGGTAAAAAAATGAAAGGTATGAGCATTAATTAAGTAGGAGACAGATGATTCATAAAAAGCATGAGGGAAGCATGACATGTTTCATGAGGAATGGCTGGTTGAAATTCCACCTTACCTGAGAGTTCCAAGGCCACACACACTTTTACTTCTGAGGCTGTTAATCATGTCTCCTATTTCTATGTTTGTTTCATTGCAAACTCTGCCTTACAACTCATTCATTCATTCATTCATTCATTGCATCATTGCAATGTTGTATTGCATTATCGATGCAAAAAATAGTTATTGGACACATTATCTGTGCAAAGTTCTATAAAGATGAGATTCTTAGAACTTTGAGGGTAATTAGTATAAAGATAAAAGGAAACTTGATATTCTGCTCTAGTTACAAATGAATTTCCCTGGACAAGTTAGTTAATCATCTGACTTAGGTTTTTCACCTGTGTAATTATTATATCAATAATGAAATAAATTAATATTTCAAGGATATTGGGTAGCAAGCATAGTTGAAGCCAGTTTCCGATTTGAGTTACTTTAGGTTGTCTATGTCATATCTTCCCTTAGACATATTAATCACATTGGGTAGTTGCCAGGGAAGCTCACATATACTTTATTAACCTTTGCATTTGTGCTAAGAATAGCACTATCCTGCAGAACTTGCTATAGTGATAGAAATGATCTATTTCTGTGCTGTCCAATATGGTAGCCACATTCCTGCTGTGACTAAGGAACTGAATTTTTATTTTTATTTTTATTTTCTCTTTATTGACTTAAATCTAAATAGTTACATGTGGCTGATAGCTAATGAATTGAATAGCATGCTTCTAAAATCCTACATAATAAAAGAGAAACACGTAAATTGACCGTCCCTTTGCTATGCTCACCAGCCAATCAAGAGTGAATATGCAAATTAACCCAACAAAGATGGTGGGTTAATTTGCATACACAGGCACTGGGCAGAGAGCAGAAATGGGAGAGCCGGCAGCTTGGGGGGACGTGGCTCCCTCGGTCGGTCACTCCCAGTCCTGGGAGCACCAGGAATTCTGGAAATAGTAGTTCTGATGGCAGCCCCAGGACTGGAAGCGGAAGCCCAGAGCACGGGGAGCACCAGGAATGCTGGGAGTCGTAGTTCTGGTGGCAGACGGATCTCCTAGACCAGTGGTCGGCAAACTGCGGCTCGCGAGCCACATGCAGGTCTTTGGCCCCTTGAGTGTGGCTCTTCCACAAAATACCATGAGCAGGTATGCATGTACAGTGTGATTGAAACTTCGTGGCCCATGCTCAGAAGTCGGTATTTTGTGGAAGAGCCACACTCAAGGGGCCAAAGAGCTGCATGTGGCTCACTAGCCGCAGTTTGCCGACCACTGTCCTAGACACTAGAGCAAAGTGAGCCTGGAGCAAGTTACCGTTACAGTTGGGGATGGAGGGAAAGTGAAGGTGAGAGACATAAGTAAAATCAGAGTGTCTAGGAAAAATTAAAAGGAAGATATCCTAAAACTTCCAGGAAATCTCCACCAATGAAGCAAAGGAAAAAAAATGCCTCTATTATTCTGTGAGCAACAAACCAAACCGGGTTGGGGGTCTCAGACAATTCGCTCATATGATTGCAAAGACAGACAGAAACTCCCGGATTGGGGAGGGCTCCTCTGAGGGCTCCCAGATTGGAGAGGGTGCAGGTCGGGCTGAAGGACCACCCCCCCCCCCACTCTCCCCACTTCCCTACTCTCCCACCCCTGTACACAAATCTTCGTGCACCGGGCCCCTAGTCTTCTATATAATGATATGCCTTGAAGTAAGTGTGTTTTGAGTTCTGTGATGTTTGAATTTTCAAACTACCTGAAACCTATGTTGTCCCGGATGGTGAGATTTTCTACAGCTATAATTAAATAAATAAAGGTGATGCCCACTACTTAAGGCAAGGGCTCCAGCCACAGGTTCCCAGCCAAGATGTCTATCCAGGAAAAGGTTTACACTGCTGGTTTAAATTCCCTGGGTCATTTTCCAGTTATCTCCCAGCTCATCAGGAGAGAGTCCTGAGAATTGGGGTACATGCTTTCCTTTCCACTTCTATTTCCAGCTACCTCAGACAAAGGTTGTTGCTCTTCCCTATAAAACTACAAAATAGCAAAGGGTCTGTAGGCTTCTCCCAAATCCTCCAGTTACTCAAGAAAATGCACAGCTGGCCTCTTTAGGGTTCCTAAAACTTTAGACAGATAGCAACAGGATCAGGGAGGGAAAGAGATCTTTTGGGGCTCCTTCCTCTTCTTTCACTTAGATCCTGAAGGGAAACATAAAATAAGCACTTCCCCATTGGGGCTTTAGGTATCAAAATAAATGAGTCTTTTCTTTTTACCTCATGTACAGGTGCATACACTGTTTGATGTTCTCAACTCCAGAGAGGGCCTAAGACAGTGCCTCTGTGATGGTGGAGGTGGCCAGGGAGGGGTGGCTCTTCCTCCTGTCCTCTTCCTCTTCTCCCTTGCGGTCCTGCTGCAGAAGCCCCAGCCCTAGGTGAACTGAGAATGGGAATGAGGCAGGAGGTGTGGTCACAGGTAAAAGAAAGGCCAGGTACTCAAGAAGCAGAGGTCTTGTGCTATCCTGGCAAATGGGCCTCAGAGTCAGTGAAAGCCTAGCATTGTATATGCTGCTTACAAATTCAATTGTTCTTTGTCAAATTGTAAGCAGCAATATTTTTAAAAATATGTACATTTACAATATATAAAGCCTAAAGATCATCTTCACAGATTTTCCCCCTCAGTATCTCTTTCTCCAAGTAAAGAGATGTGCAAGTTTTTTAGGAATGTACCTAAATTTTTCAGTTTCCTATTTGATTTGGCAGCATAAATACCAATTCCTCCCCCTCCTTCTTTTTTTCAAAGTATCTGCCCTGATCTGTCTTTTTGTGTGTCCTCCTCCTCTCCTCCCCTCCTCTTCCTCCTCCTTCTCCCTCTCCCACCTTGTCTCCCTCTCATATTCTCTACTACTCTTTATTCTTTTTTCTGGCATCATTTATCTACATTAATAGATTACCTAAAATTCTCCATTTCACTTTCTTAATGAAACTTTAACATAATTTTCATAGGGTAATTTTGCACTAATCTTAGGCATATGAATTTGACCTAACAAACTTACCTAGTGGAGATATAAACTCAGTGATTTGACAGATAGATACGTAGATTATCCTAGTTGTTCTCTTCATTTTTTGCACATAGAAGCATATGCTCAAAATAATTTTTCTTCAGAATTTTGAAGATATTTGTCCAATATCTTCTCTCCTGCACCATTGCAGCAATGTCTATATCAATCTCATTTCTTTATATGCAGATGTGGAAGCTTTTTAAATTTTATTTTTTATCATTGGAACCTTGAACTTCTACCTGTTTCACCTTTTTGAAAAATTCATCCTGGTCACTACTAACTGAGCTCTTGCAATCTGAGGGCTCGTTCATTCTTCAGGTTCTACATATTTTCTTCTAACATTTAAAACAAGTATTGATTCCGTTCATTTTCTCAGTTATCTCCTTTTGGAATTCTGTTAGATGATTGCTGTATTGCTTGGATTGAACCTCTGTTTCTCTTAAATGTTCTCATATATTCCAAGTTTTGTTTGTGTGTATGTTTGATCTGCCTTTTTTGATATCCCTTCAACCTCATTTTTTATGTTAGTAATTTTCCATGGTTGTATGCATACTTCTGCCTTTCATTTATTTAAAAAGATTTAACAGTCATTTTGTTAGTTTATCATAGGCTCTCCTTACCCTTGACTTCCCTAGGGGCTGAGGATCAAACCTGCAACCCAGCCATGTGCCCATGACCGGGAATCGAACCTTTGACCATTTGCTGTGCAGGCTGTCGCTCTATCCACTGAGCCAGGGCTATTTTCATTCTTAATATGTGCCTTTTTTCTGGATCAGCATTCACCTTTTGCACATTTTTCTCCTGTGGAAGTTTTGTAGATTTTTAAAAGCTTCCTGTACCTTTTTCCAAGCTGAGGTTTTCCTCTATTCTTATCAAACCATTCTTGCTTGCTTTTTATCTTCCAGGAACATTTAACAGTTCTCTTCTACTAATGGAAATGTTTAGTGGTTTCTAGATCTACTCTTTGAAAAAGGTATCTCTTTTAACACTTCGAGTGATTTGCAGGGAGACCCAAAAGTGGTATATATAATTCGCTATCTTGATCCAACTCCCCTATGCTAATTCTTCAGTAGGATTTGTTTCTTTCAAAAAATATTTTTCCTTATTATAAAAGTAATATTAATCTTTACTAGAAGCTTAGAAAATATAGACAAGCAAGGTAAATTATGACTATTTCTATGGATCCAAATAAAATTTTATTATTTCATTAAATATACAATAAATTTTATTTTCAATGGAGTGCTGACCATAAAGGAATAGAATATTTAACCTTGTTTTGGTACAGCCATTATATACTAAATCACAAATACTAAATCAACCTCTGGACACATAACATAAGATCTACAGTCTTATTCATCACAAACAGAATTCCAGTGCCTAGATACATTTTTATAATATTCAGAAGATGTGAACCAAATATTTCTTTCAGTAACATTTAATTGAGAA